TCATGTCAGGTAGGTGAGCATCTCAGACTGCCAAATTGTTAGAACAAAGTGTTCTTGTGTTGGGGGAGTACTTGTGTAGGGGACCACTGTCCATCTGTTTTCTTAATATTCAACCTATAAATATATGTACATTGATCTATTTCCCCTCATCATATATAAATATATTTACATCTTTATATGCCTGTATTTACATCTCTATGAGTGACCTTTGCCTCCTAGTTCTTTCCTCTATTTCTTTGTACTTTCCTCTTGTCTCACTATCATGTTCTGCCTTCATTTGGGTTTTAGGGATTCCTCTCGGCTACATTGCCCTTGATCCAGCCCTGCCAGGCCTCCCGCACCTTCCTTGACATTGATTTTGGATCACTTGTTGTTCCCTTGTGCCTGTGCTTGTTAACACCCTCTTCCTTCCTCCCCCCTCCCCTACCCCATGTTCCCCTGATCTGTCATCCCATTGTTCTCTCTTCTGGCTTGTTTATTCCGCCTATCCCTTCCAGGTGGACATGCTATGTACCATCACCAGACTGAGTGCAACGAGGCAACAACAGAAAGTAAAACAATGTCTACAACAACAACAATACACACATATGCATACATATATAACCGTATGAATAGTTCATGGTCTGTTTGTTTTCTTTCACGTGTGCTTTCTAGTCAAGTCTGATGGGGTGCCATGCCCCGGCATCGCCTCTATCCCTGAGGACCTCACTGCTCTGTTCCCTCCGCTGCTCTGATGCATGCCCCCAGGGGCTGGTGTTCGAAGTGATGAGCTCATGGTGGGCGCAATTCCCACTGTTTGTCTCCAGTGCTGTCCCCAGTGGTGCAATGGGTCAACGATGAACGCTGTGTCCCGTGGTGGGGCCGGCCCCATGGTCATCTCTGTGCATCGCTGTTTCGAACAGGCACATTGTCCCCAGGGCTCGGCGAGCCAGGATGTGCTCCACTCTTTCCTTTTCTTCCCCTTTCCCCCTCAGTGGCTCACAAGTGCTCTGACCAGACCAGTTCCCCTTCCCCTCTTCCCGAGCTGCAGCTTCAATGCTGTCCTCTGAAGTGAATTCCCCCTGAGGGAGGGTGGTGCCTTGCACCCAGTTGGTAATGGGGCCGGCCCTTCAGGCCTCTCCATCTGTTCCCTACTTCATGTCAGCGTGTTGCGTTCCTGTCTGGGAGCTCCGGGTTGAAGTCTGGTCCCTCTTTCCCTGTGGAGACAAAATTGACACTCTTCTCCTGTGTGGATTAGTGTCCTGTTCCCCTGGCTACCCATACTTTTTTCCCTCCCCCCTTTTGGTGGGCTACCATATGTATCCCATACATATCCCTGGATTTAGTCTAGCCCCTGCCAGTTTGATTGAGGCTTTTTTTCTATTTTACTATATTATTAGTATTAGCTTTGTTTGTTTTTGTTTATTCAATTTAAATTTTTTTTTATTGGGGACTCTTACAGCTCTTACCTTTGTCAAAACCATTTGTGCATACGTTGTCATCATCTTTTTCAAAACATTTTCTTTCTACTTGAGCCCCTGGCATCAGCTCTTCATTTTCCCCCCTATATCCCCCACCCTCCCTCCACAATGACCTCTTGATAACTTATATTCTTTTTTTAAAAATCATTTTATCGGGGGCTCTTACAACTCTTATCACAATCCATACTTACATCCATCGTGTCGAGTACATTTGTACATTTGTTGCCATCATCATTCTCCAAACATTTGTTTTCTACTTGAGCCCTTTATATCAGCTCCTCATTTTCCCCTTCCCTACATGCTCCCCCCTCCCTCATGAACGCTTGAGAATTTATAAATTATTATTATTTTGTCATATCTTACACTA